AACAATCTGTCAATTTTGTGCCAGTATCATGCCTCTGTTTTTCATAATTTTTATTATATTTTGAAATTGGTTATTTTGATTACTTCCATATTGCTCATTAGCAATCTTTATTTGCCCTTTTGGCATTCCATGTATATTTTAGGAATGTTGATTTATTTCCATGTAGAATTCCATTAAAATTTGATAGTGATTGCACTAAATCAGTAGAACACTTCTTTTACTACAGCTATACAGGATAGCAATAATTTTTCTTATTTCTACCATCTAATATAATTTAATTTTTTGGTGTACTTTATTAATAGTTTTATAATAAATGTCTCTTGATGATTAGTAGAGATTAGAGATGTCTATAGAGTGGGGAAAAGTGATTTCTGCTGTATTTTAAATAATCAATTAAATTTAAGAGACACTTATCAGATGATGAAATATAAATGGAGGACAATTTCTGAAGAAAAATTCAGTATTTATACCTGTCTGGTGAAGGAAAATGAGGACATGACTACTGCAAGGTATGGTTAAGGAGAAGGCTTTTATTGTAGATGTGTAAAAGAGAGTAGCCAGAGCCTTCTGGAATGATTCAGACTGAACATGGCTAATAAAATAGACTGGGCCATGAGGTGGGGAATGGGAGAGAGAGAGAGAGACAAAAAGGAACCAGGAGTCAAGAGTGGAAGACAAAGAGGGCAAAAAGCCCATGTGGTTGAAATAGCAGCCTTATATAGGAATGGGAAGTGAAGCTCAGAGGCTGGAGAGGTTTAGGTTTGGGGACTGGGGTGAAAAGTATTGAGTGGGGCCCATTTATACTGTGGTATGTTAGACATCACAGTTAGCCATTTGTCCAGAGTGTTTTTAGAACCTGACAATTGGGAAATTAAAATGAAGACCACACTGGGATACTATCTAATAACAGACAAAATGATTATCATCCTCATAAAAAAACCCACTACAACAAAGAAACAAACAACAAAAAAATCAAATGTGCATAAAAGGAATCAAAATACACCACTGATGATACTGTAAATTAGTTTTACCTCTGTGTAGAGGTGTAAAAATTTCAAAAAGAAATTTAGTATGACCTACTATGCAAAAACGAAAGACTACATGGTACAAAGTTACCTGTATGTCTGCGATTACCAGTACATTATTCAAAACAGCCAAGATATAGGCTCATCCTACATATCTATTAGCAGATGAATGGATAAAGAAAATCTTTTTTCAGCTTAGCAATGTTTTTATTATTATTTTAATTTTAAATAGCTTGTTTTACATGTCAATCCCAGTTCCCTCTCCCTCCCCTCCTCCCGCATCCCCCTCCCAGCCTCCCACAATATTGCCAATTCCTTCCACATAGGGGATATCTAGAGTCTGTCCTTTCACTCCGGGTAGGGTCCAGGCACTCCCCTAAGAGTCCAGGCTGAGAGAGCATCCCTCTTTGTGCTATGGACACATGATGTCTGTTTGTATTCCAGGGATAAACACTGATCCACTGCTCAGGGCCCCATAGGTTGCCCAGGCCTCTTCAATAACACTCACATTCCTGGCATCTGGATCAGTCCCATGCTGGCCTCCCAACTGTCGGTCTGGGGTCCAAGAGCTCTCCCCTGTTTAGATCAGCTGTCTCTGCTGGTTTTGCCAGCCCATTCTTTGCCAATTTGCTCATCACTCCCTCTCTCTCTCTCTGTCACTGGGTTCCTTGGGTTCAGTTCAGTGTTAAACTGTGGGTGTTTGCCTCTGCTTCCATCAGTCACTGGCTGAAGGCTCCCGAATGTTTCAAGACATCAAGTTCATTATCAGGAATGGGCATTCAAGGTGTTCTCTCCACTATTGCTTAACTTGCCAACTGGTGTCATCCCTTTAGATCACTAGAGGTCACACTGATGCCTGATCTGTCTTCTAACCTATGATTCCCTCTCCCCTCTTTTCTACTCCCCCCCACTCAACCTTCCTGTTCCCCCATGACCTACTCTCTCTTCCTCTTCTCCCCCTCTCTTCTTCCCAGCTCAAACTCCCCACCACCCCTCACCATGTTCCCAATCTATTCAGAAGATCTTGCCTCATTCCTCTTCTCTGAGGTACCATGCCTATCTCTCTTAGGTTCTTTCCTGTTTCCTAGACTCTCTGTCAGTGGAAGTGCAGGCTGGCGCTATCCTCATCCATGTCTAAAATCCATATATGAGTGAGTACATACCATGTTTGTCTTTTTGTGACATCTTTTTCTTCATCTCTTTTGATTGATTTTAATTTGAAGTTTGGTTTGGTAGGTATTAGGATTGCTACACCCACTTGTTTCTTGGTGTTTGGTAAAGTGGGATTGTCTATTGCCTGTGTCTTTGTGAGTGTAGTTATCTTCGTTGGGTCTAGGTTTTCCTTCCAGCACTTTCTGTAGAGATGGATTCATGGATATGTATTGTTTAAATCTGGCTTTGTCATGGAATATTTTGTTTTCTCCATCTATGGTAATTGAAAGCTTTGCTGGATATAGTAGTCTGGGCTGGCATCCTTGTTTCTTTAGCGTTTGTAGGATATCTGTCCAGGATCTTCTGGCTTTCATCGTTTCCATTGAGAAGTCAGGTGTAATTCGGATAGGTCTGCCTTTATATGTTACTTGCCTTTTTCTTTAGCTGCTCTTAATATTTTCTCTTTATTCCGTAGGTTTGATGTTTTGATTATTATATGGTGAGGTGTCTTTTTCTGGTCCAGCCTATTGGGTGTTCTGTAAGATTCTTGTATTTTCATAGGCATATCTTTCTTTAGGTTAGGGAAGTTTTCTTCTATGATTTTGTTGAATAGTTTTCTGTACCTTTGAGATGTATTTCTTCACCTTCTTCTATACCTATTATTCTCAGGTTTGGCTTCTTCACGGTGTCCCATATTTCCTGGATATTTTGTGTTAGGGATTTGTTGGCTTTGAGATTTTCTTTGGTTGACAACTGTATATCCTCTAATGGGTCTTCAACACCTGAGATTCTCTCTTCTATCTCTTGTATTCTATTGGTGATACTTGCATCTGTAGTTCCTGATCGTTTACCCAGCTTTTCTATTTCCAGCATCCCCTCTTTCTGTGTTTTCTTTATGATTTCTATTTCAGCTTTCAATCCTTCAACTGTTTGAGTTGTTTCCTTCATTTGTTTGGATGTTTTTTCTTGGTACTCTTTAGATTCTTTGGGATATTTATTTATTTCTTGAATTTTTTGGTTCACATTTTCCCTCATTTCATGGATTTTTTGTTTGGTTTTTCTTCTATTTCTTTAAGGTTTTTCCTTGTTTCCTCTTTGAGGGTCTCTATCATCTTCATAAAATAATTTTTAAGGTCTGTCTCCTCTGCTTTGTCTATATAGTGCTTTTCAGGTCTTGCTGTCATTGGTTCTCTAGATTCTGGTGGATCATGTTGGTGTTTCTATTGCTGAGTAAGTTCTTATTCTGTCTTCTTCCCATCTCTTCTTCCAGTGTGTGCAGGTGGGGTCTTTCTATCTCCACTGGTCTCCTTCTTTCCTGAAGCTGAAGCTGGGGACACTGAAACTGATGCTGGGGTCACAGGAGGTTGGGGTCTGGAAGGACTGGTGCCTTTCCTGTGTGGGTGGGTCTTCTGGATGCTAGGAGCAGGCCCCTGAGGATTGAGGGGATGGGTGTTGGGCAGGGGATGGGGAGTGGCTCCACGGAGACCCAAGCTCACCTGAAGCTGGAGTTGCCGGAGGTTGGAGCCTCGAAGGGGAGATGCACATATTTGCCAAAACCCATTAAACGAGGATGGGCATGGTGCAGGCCTTTAATCCAAGAACTCTGGAGGCAAAGGCAGGTGGTTCTGTGTAAGTTCGAGGACAACTTGGTCTATATAATGAATTCCATGCTGGTTGTGGCTACATAGTGTGATCTTGGCTCCAAAACAAACACACAAACAAACAAACAAAAAACCCAAATCATTAACTAAGCTTTCCAAATAAATTAATTTTATTTTAGTAAATTATATAGCCAATAAAAGATTTTTAAGCCAGATTTATTTGTAGAAAGTTAGAAATTGTGGGGAATATGACTTATTAGAAAGACAGAAGTAGTCATGTCCTTCCTTAGTCTGGGATTCAAAGTTTGCATTTTGATCCTGTATAAGGAAAGATTATAAGTATAGTTAACAGTGTTTTCTCACCTGTGGTGGATGTTAAGCGGGGAGCTATTTACTTGCTATCTATGAATTTTCAATCTCTGCAATACTGTATACAGAATGTGACATGTTTCTAACAATATTATTTCCTTTACTTTCCTTTATGTTTTAGCAAATTTCAGTAAGTTTGAGGTGCATTTTATTCTTGGTTAGCTTAGGCCAGTTTCAGACCAGGCTTATTGGCCTTTAGAAATGATACGTTGTATCCTCAAAACTTACACAAAGCTGTGACTGCTATTGGTATATAGGTGAAGAAATTTAGGCATAGATGAAGTCTAAAATGCATGTAAGTTCTCAGAGATGTTAATGGTATTGATGTCATGAAACTAGAATTGAAATACAGATCTAATTCTAGAGCCAGTGCTAATTAGAATAACCTCGTATCTTAAGGATTAAAACAGTAGCTATCTTTTATTAAGTGGATGTTATAAAGCACATGTTAAGTTTAGCAGTTCATATGAATAGTTTCTGCTGTTCTGGAATGTTTATCCTTCAGGAGGGCTCATTAAAGTTTCCTAGTGTCCAACATAGTACCTGGCACAAAACAAGCATTCACTAAAGTTTTATTAAATAAAATGATAAACCATGTGTGGTAGATAATAGAGGCTCCATTTATGATTGTTTAAAATAAAGCTTAAGGACGTTAATATGCCTAAAAATAATGCCAACCATCTAAGTAACTGGTACAGATGTACATAAATAGGTATCTGTCTCACTGTCAAGGAGATAAGGAAAGCCAACATATGGAAAGGGATACCTCTAGTAATAGGGACATAGAAATAGGATTGCTACTAATGGTGGTTAGACACTGAGAGAATCCCACCTGTGTTTATATATTCTCCAGAATCTCCCCATTGCTCAACTCACTGCTCAACGTTGTGGCCCAATTATACATGGAGAAGAATACATGAGTGGTAAGTGATTCTCCCATCTTCACTGAAACTTAGCTTTAAATGCCATATCTTTAAATAACTCTTGTCTTCACTCATTTGCATTTATTTTCTTTCCAAGTCTCTAGACAATCTTGATTTAGGGCCTTGGGTAGTGTGAAACTTTTCTAAGAGGGGAATAGACACAAGCTTAATTATATACTCATCCAAACAAAACATTTCTTCTCACTGTTCTCCAAAGGTCACTGAGTAAGTAGAAGGTTTGGATATCTACCTCCTGAACATTAACCCAAATGCCATTATTTCTATATGATTAATTCATGCATCTGCAGTACAAAAACATTAAATGCACTAGTACATTGATGGATTTTCTGTGCACATTAACAAAGTATAAATATCTAGTTGTGTCTATGGCTGTTATGGATAAATTTTATGAATTCAAAGAAGAATTACTGAGTATTTCTGTGTTTACAAAGAAGGATATTGTGCCATGGGGATATAAAGATGAATCTGTTTTTTTTTCTTTTTTATCTCCCAGTTTAATAAGAGACACAGACATTTAATAATTTATTACAAGTGATACAAGTATTTCAATGGAGAAATAAGTGGGAAGGTAGTATATTAAATGACTTATTTTAAGTCACCTCCTTGCTGCACATCTGGAGACTTGGGCACAATTACATTTTATATAAAAAATACATCTCCAGAAAGAAACAGAAACTGGTGTTGAGGATTTTTAGACGGCAACTTTTCAGTGTCTGCAAAAATATAATGGTTTCTAACGTTGATGTCTGCTAAATGCCAGTAATTGTACATATCATGTGCCTCAGTTATATGTAAATATATATGGTTGATTCTGTCAGAAACATAGATGTTAATATGTGAAGACTAAGGCTCACAGAGATAACTTGCTCAAGGTATCACAGTATGAGGTAAATGAGATTGGGGTTTTGATTCAAAGTATCTTATTTCAAAGTTCCAGATTCTTTAAATACCACTATTTAAAGCTGCTTCCAAGGTCAAGTTGTGTCAGATGTACATGCTGAAGGTTCTAGTTCCAATTCTAACATAAAATCATTGTAAGTCTGTAAACAATTTTTCTTATTATTTGAAAATTCAATACATGTATATAATGTATCTTAATCACACCCACACCTTGTTTGCCCCTGCAACTTCCATCAGAATCCTTCCCACACTTTCATGCAAAATTCCTGTTATCTTGCAAAGTTCATGTTCTCCTGCAAAGCTCCTGTTCTTTAAAGTTCATGTTATCCTACAAAGTTCGTGTTCTCCTGCAAAGTTCGTGTTCTCCTGCAAAGTCTCTGTTCTCCTGCAAAGTTCATGTTCTCCTGATAACTTCCTGTTCTCCTGCAAAGTTTATGTTCTCCTGCAAACTTCATGTTCTCCCAGTTGGATTGAATATGGAAGTCATGCCTTCCTACTTCACAGTTATTCAAAGAGATAACTGAAATACTAGGGAGATACTTAGATTACACAAAATACTCTACATGTATGTGAGATGGTATCAGCTACGGAATAACAGACTGCCAGTTCTTGAGTGTCATAGAGCATCTAATCTTTGTATTGCTTACTCCCAGTCAAAGCTTTGTAAGGAGAAAAAGACTAACTAGAAAGGGCCTGGCATTAGACCATAGTGTCGGGGTCTGTAAACATTACTCAAACCATGTGTCTGTTTCTTGAACCCCACATTCACCAACTGTAAGATTTCTCTAATCAAATGGTTCTCAACCTTCTGAATGCTGGGATCCTTTAATACAGTTGATCATGCTGTGGTGACTTTCAGCTACTTCTTAACTGTAATTTTGCTACTGTTATAAATTATAATGTAAATATCTGAAATGCAGGATATCTGATATGAGATCCCCATGAAAGTCATTTGACCCCAAAAAGGGTCATGACCAACAGGTTGAGAACTACTACTAGTGTTAGGCTTTTACAAGATTTCATGGAACCACAAAACATGATATATGCTAAGTTGAGTATATTAAGCTTTCTCTACCTTGAACAGAGCAGCAGGTTGCCCAACACCATAGGGACCTAAAATGCAAAAGAAGTTTGAATCTAAGTGGGCTAGGTTCTGTCAGCTCATCAGTTGCAAATGGTATTCAGCAATAAGTGAATTGCACTTAATGAATTAAAGATGAAAAAGACAGCAGGGAGCATGAATATAGGAGAAGACCTTTCATTTCAAATTTAAAGGGCTCATTTTATGACTGTTTGCGATCTGTAGATCAGAATTTTTCCATTCTTTCCCTAATTGTTTACTTGAAGCAGCATGTACTGTTTGAAATTATGTGAACATAGGGAACATACTAAGAAATCAAACTAAGCGTTCAAATTGGTAAACAAGACCTGTATACCTTAGCCATTAAGTGTCCTCCAGCAATAAGGACTGTGGTATGGGTTCACAGTGGATAAAGTTTGGGTTGACTAGTAGGCATACAGGTGAGACTCTACATTGTATATCACTCAACAGCCATTTCCTCATATTTTACCTCTGTGTTCAGGCAAGTTATAGAATCTATGGGTTTGAAAGAGTAATATCACTTTTATGATACCTCACTGTTTTTTGGTTCTAAGAGTCTCTATTCTAATGTCCCACTGTGGAGGAATTCTAGTTCTGCTTATTCTCAAATGACATAGAACTCAGAAATTCTCTCACAGAGACACTCATCCCATCTCTATTCCCACTCTCCCAATTTTATCTTTAAATAGCCTTCTCCTCATCGCAGAGAATAAAGCAGTCTACAAGAGACTCATATGAAGAGCACTGCTCATGTATCAAACTTCTCCCTTTCTCCCTGACTTAGACTTAACATCTTAGTAGCTTGGTTTATGACTTGGAAAACAGCAAAATTGCAGCCAGGAAATGAAATAATAAACATGAAAGTGGTTATTGAGAGATATAACTCTTAGTGCATGTAGATAAGGAAACCTATGTAGCCGGAATCCTCATTTATCAAGTGTAGCTCCTTGATAGACTTACAAAACATGATAAAGGAAAACTAGGGAATTTGGACAGAATATTCATGGTACTTGTAACATCGTAAGAAGCTAAGCTATGTGTCCAGCTGAGGATGAAAGAAGATTGAAAATTAAAGGAGAGTGTGAGACATCTGATTCATCTCAATGGCCAAAAGGACACAAGTAATATTAGCTGGCCTCATGTAGTTATCACATGGATATGTAGATGACTGTTCTGTTATTCAGATAGAAGAGTAGGATGCTGTATTCCTTTGAGAGGGAGCCACAAAGTCCCAAGAAAAGGGTCAGCTTGGTGGCTACCTATGATTTTTTTTTATCTCCAAGCTAGTGGATTGCAACATGCCCAGATATGACCTGCACTGGAACACTGTTTAACAAAGTCATGGAAGCTAAACAAAAATTTCCACATTCCGTACTTTAGGGGCTGCTTTGGGAGACACATAATTTTATTTCTAAAAATTACAAACTAAATATTGATGTATATACCTGGAATCTTGGCACTTAGCCTGATAAATCAGGAAGAACATAGGTTTGAGGCCAGCTCTGACTACAAATCAAATTTCAATCCAGTATAAGCTAAAAAATGAAAACCTGTCTCTACCCCTTATCCAAACATGTAGATAATTGTAAAATCAAATGTAACCTTAGAAACAACTGAACCTAAAGTTTTTCAAACGTATTAACTGAAATTTCTGTATCAATATCTCCTGCAGAGCTTATTTCATATTCATATTACTAGGTTTCCTCCCAGAGACAATGTCCCCATACTCTCTGTATATAAAATAAAAACAATTCTGTGTGGTAAAATCCCAGAAGTTCCTGAGAACCTTGTAATTTTGTGAGGTGTGTGGGGGGGTGGTCAGTCTCTAATATTCCAAAGATCAAATCTGAAGACCACTTTAAATAGATATTAACAGGAATACCTATAAAAGCACTCCTGTGTTCCTCTGATAACTTTTTGAGTTATAATTTCTAAGGCATACTAATGTTTAATAAGTCAATACTCTTCAGTATGCAGATAAAGATACTTAAGTCCAGAGATAGAAAAAAAATGTCTTGTCCAAGCTCTTTCTTCTGAATGGTAGAAGTAAGTATAAGCTCATATCTCCAGAAAAGTCCAAACACTGTGCTCCTCTGTTCACCCTTACGAGAGGAATCAATGCCTCAATTTAACATCTGGGACCACAGATTTCCGTAGAAGTTTTGAAGCACGAGAGAGAATTATAGCTTTTCTGGATGGCTGCATGGTATCAAATCAGAGAACAGCGTAAAAATAAGATGATGTAAGGTCACACATTTCTCTTATAGGAAATAGAGCCCTGCCGGTCTGAGATTGTCAGCTTTGTGTTACTAGACCCAATCAGTTTAAGGGAGAAAAAGATTAATTTTTGGCTCACTGGTTGAGAGGTTTTGATCTGTAGTCAGCCCTGTTGCTTGGAACTTTTGGCAGGGTAGAAGCCCATTTTAATGTTATAATTTTAAAAAGCAGCACACAAGAGAAAGACACCATGTGACAGAGTTCAAGCAGAGTGGCTTTTATTAGGGGGAAAAGGATCATAAAAAAGGGGAAGGGGGAGGGAGAGATTGGTTTCTGGGGACAGGGACGGCAGGAGAGAGGAAAGAGAGGCAGAAAGAGAGGAACAGTCAGACAAAGAGGGAAAGAAAGAGAGAGGAGGATGGGAGGTGGGCAGGGCCCTTTTAAAAGGGAACATAGTGAATAGGCACAGGTGGTACTCTTAGTGGCAATAGCTGAAGGCATATCCTGTCAGAACTCCAAAGGCAAGCCAGCACAGATGCCTAAATACTGAGAGGCCAGGACTTGAAAACAGAGTAATAAAGAATGGACCTTGAACCCAGTATGACCTTGAAAACTTGCATTGGTGACCTGGGCCTTAAGACCTAATTCTTAAGGGTTCCACAACCTTCTACATGAGCCAAGCTGAAAACCAAACCTTAATGCATGTTCTTTTGAGGGACACTCTAGAACTTATATATAACAAGGAATTTCTTCAACTGTGGTCTCAAAGGGGTTTTGGAAAGGAATTTTGCGTTCAGAAGCACTATTAACTGTAATTTTGAACCAAGTGAATATAAATAAAATGATTTACAACAATTTACTAAATCTATTGGTTGTTATGGTTGTATAGATGAAACATTTCAATATTAAGAAACATATCTATGCAGTTTTTTCTTACATCTGATCCAGCCACATTAGTCTCATGCTCCAAAACATATGCATTTGTGTTTGCTGCTTTGTTTCTGCTTTGGCTCTTTAAAGCTAGATACATCAAAATGGAAGTCTTTGCAATAGTATCTCCTATGGACAATCCAATAGAAGGTCAGTGACCTCAGGAAAATAGAATTTTGTAACTGAAATGATCAGGTAGAATTTCTCTGAGGGAATGAGTATTTGCCACTCACAACAGTGGCATTATATGACTTGCATGGGGGCTAATACTTTTAATTTCACCAAGTGTTTCACCCCAATACATAATTAGGAAAATTAAATGCTAAGCTACCTTGAATACATAATTCTGTAAAGAATAAAGAGCCCTCACACAGACATGAAATTGCTGAAGGTAGAAGGGAAGGGCAAAAGGCAAAGACATGAAGTAAAAGTTATAATCATATCCTCCCAATTAAAAAAAAAGGAGTTTACTAGAAGTGCATAATCCCTTCTTATTTCAAATCTGAAATCAAAGAGGTTTATGAGATGTAAGTCACTTTTTCATTAATTTGTTGCTAAAACCCAGTTGGCAGCAAAACTTGACCTGATTTGACCTGAATTTCGTCTATATTCAATTCAGTATGAATATTCACACATTTTTCCTGCTGAAATTTTAATGGCTTAATTATAGGATGTTTCCCCAGATACCGCAGGAAATGTTATATAATAAACAGTAATGCTCTGTGTTACTTTTCAAAAATCTGAAAAGGTGAAACTTGAATTATAAAGCACAGATGACACAACTATGAACCTAGAAAAATGATAGCTAACATTTATGGGGCCTTTGCTATCTGCATGAAGCTGTGCAGATCTCGTTTCGTTTCAGTTAACCACCAAAAAACACTATGAGCTAGGTGTTTCAAGCATGTCTGTTTTATGAATAGATTTGTTTATTGAACTATGAAAATGTTGTTGTGGAATATGATAACCACATATAGAACTGTTAAGACAAATGACAAACTATAATTTAAAATTCCCTCTTAACTTAGGCCAGAGGCTATACATTACCAACTGAAATTCATTCACAATGAACCAACATGAACAATGCGATAGGAAAAATGCTGTGATCCATGCACATACATATGAAATATACATACACATCAACACATATACACACTCATTTTACATATGTACCTATGTATATAGAGAGCAATTCTGTGCTTATAGCATATGAGAAATATTTTAAAGTTTGGCCAGTGATTCTGAGTGAGATTAAATAGCATGTACAGACCATGCAGCCTTTGGTAGAGCCAAGATTTGGGCCCAGGAGATTCTGTCGGCAGAGACTGTTGTTTACTGCATTCTACTGCCAACTGAAAGATGGTGTCAGCAGTTTATTGGTTTTATGCAAAAGTAGAACATGGTGTCCACTCTGCCATATCACTTCTTACTTTCAAATACACCTTCTTCCAATCCTTACTTCTCTGTGACACTAATACATCTTTATTCGTTGAGGCACTTTGCTTTGCACAGGAACCATATATATCACAAATCAAGAGCAGCCCAGGTTGTAAAGTACTGATTCCTGGAATCTACCCCAGACCCACTGAAACAGGCTTTTTAGGTATTGGAACTGAGTTGAATGTTATGAATATTAAATAACAAGTAATATCTTGAGACACACTGATCATTAGCTCTTACTAACATCATATCATCTTATTACTAGCTGAAACCCAGCAAGAATGGCAGGGATTCAGTCACAGATGAGCACCTAGAAAGAGGATGTCTAGAAGGTAGAGCAGGACCACAGAATACTAAGATATAGAAAGGAAACAAGGCATGGCTCTGTATTTCTCCTTTGGTGGCATGTGATAATCATAGGCCTCATGAGCAAGCACTCATTGTTCAACCATACTGAACGAATTTTGGAATCAATCCTCCAAATTTTTGCCACCTAGAGTACCTGTCTTATAGAGCATTGACACAATAATTCTCAGCCTAGTCATTCCATATGATATGTATGGAAATTGACAAATGAGTTTTTCATGGTAAATATTATTCATGGTCAAAATCCCTTCTAGTGTTTGCCACAGAGTTTCTAGACCCCAATTTTACCCTGTTTTAGTCTTACACTTTCCATTGGTCTAGAGAGTAGGAATGTTCAGTGAAACATGTTCAGTCTTGTTTACTTGTTTGTTATTGATAACATATTATTTTGTTGCTCTGGCCCGTATCTTGCTACAAACTCTCACCCCTCCTGCCTTGTGCTCACAAGTGCATCAAATGCATGGATTGCAGGTATTTCTCATATATATATATATATATATGTACATGTATATATATATTTCATGTAATATATTCTGATAAAATTTCTGCTCCCTTAACTCCTCAACTCTCCCCCAATCCTCTAAAACTTCACTCCTTTTATTTCTCACTTTAGAAATGAAATAGGCAAACAAAAACAAATAAACAAACCAGAGGGAACAAAGAAAAATCCACAAAAACATACACATACTGAAAATATAAAATGAGAAATCATAGTATGCAAGTAAAATGTCTGTAAGACAAAAAAAATACCCAAACAAAGCAATATGAGACAAAACAATCTACAAAAATACCACTGGCATCATTTTGTGTTGACCATCCACTGTTGGGCATGGGCCTACCCTAAAGAGTGGTTAATATACCCAATGAGCCTCCACTGAAGAACACTAATTATTTCTTTGCAAGTGGATGTCAGTTGGAGATAGCTTCTTGGTTACCTATGGGAGCAGATATCCACTTTCCCCTCCCAGCACTGGGGCCCGGTCTGGTTTGAACTTGTGCAGGCCCTGTGGATGCTGCCACAGTCTCTATGAGTTCATGTATTCATCAGTCCTGTTTTGTCTAGAAGATAAAGGTTCCTTGGTGCACACCATGCCCCCTGGCTCTTAGAATCTTTATATGTCCTATTCTACATAGCTTCCTGAACCCTGGGGGAAGAGAGGTTGACGAAGACATCCCTTTTAGGGCCGACAGCTCAAGGTCCCTTAGTATGTGTATACTGTCCAGTTGTGGGTCTGTATTAGTTCTCATCTACTGTGGAAAGAGGCTTCTCTGATGATGGCTGATCAAGGCTCTAATATGTCGGTATAGCAGAAATTCATTAGGATTCATTTTGTTGCCATGTCCCTACAGCATAAAAATAGTATTTGGTTTTTTTCCTAGGTCCGTGACCTAGCCATTGAGAGACTAATAGTTTGAAAGGATCAGTGATATACTTTTTTTCCTCTGGTAGCCAATTTAAGTACATTTAATTTGTATGCTACACAAAGAAGGACAATTAAAGGAACTGAAGTAAAGAATAGTTCAAACTACCTGACATGCCATATCTTATAGGATTATTTTTAATTTCTATTGGTTACTTTATCCTTTTTATCAGTTCTTGGAGGAGTATTGAATGTTTTGATCTTCATACCTTTAAGAACATTCAGTTCTTATTTGTGAAGTTTTCAATCTTACATGCTTATCTTACTTGTGACTCCTAATTATTTCCATGGCATCAAAAATGTGACCTCATACAAGGAAATGCTAGCAAAAAAACAGATTAACAACACTGCATTCAGATATCTGACAGCAATACAGATTTAAAGTAGTGAATGTGAAATACAGTCAGTGATTATTCCAATTTAAACAAAGTAATGCTCAAACCACAATACACATTCTAATTATATTGGAAATATTGGGAAAATGTGAAAAATTAGTCAATGGGCTCTTAATGAGTCTTGGTTTTCTGTGTTCCTAAAAACTCTTTGGTAAGACTCAATGCTATTGTCCCCAGATCAGGTTTTGAATGATGTATCATCACTCTCAAGCAGAATATGAATAGCTGTAGGAAGTGCTATTTTGGATCACTGCCCTGATGAGCATATCAAATCTGATATTAACAAGCTGGGTGACTTTGAACAAACATTTTTGTTTTTTTGAGTCTCTGTTTTTAATCTGTGAAATTATAAATTTTGTTGGTCTGGATGACTGCCAATACTATTTTGAACTCTAATCCAAAATCTTTTGACAGTGATTATAAAAAACATTTTAGAATAAAAGATCAGTATGAAGTTTGATGTCTATACATATAAAGAGAGGGAAGAGAAATTCCTGTGTCTGTGATATGTTTTCTTAATTCGAATCCTCTCTTCTATGTGTCCCAAGGTGATATGTGTCTTCTGAATCTGTAGAACACTGATATTCTCCATGAAGAAGCAGTGATGAGTAGAAGATAATATTTTGTGGCATCTCTTCAGTTCAACTCTCAGCATTCTCTAGTGACGTTTGAACAGCTGTTTCCTGCTTGTACATAACACTGTCTTTTCTGATCCCAAACCAAACGACTGCCTGTCCCTTTGTCTTGTATACTGATACTGAATTTCTATTCAGTTCTACATAATTACAGGAGATACAATGGAAAAGTGCACAGAATCACCACCTACCTTAAAGGTAGAGACTTCCTTTTCGAGAGGAGATAATCTGGTTCTACAGCCACAAATGCAACATCCAACTGATGACAACCCCACTTTAAGAGGGCAAGTTGTGCCTGTCCTGAATACTCCAATGATGTCTACACCCTACTCAAGTGGCAATCTCCCGCAATTTCATGGTGAGACAACCAGTGTCACAGGGTTTCTTGCCCAGGGGACTACCTATTTGACAGCTCTCGAGATTTCCAATCCTGCAGATGATGCCCGAGTCAAGCATTTTTTTGACTACCTATCCCAGCAGATGCAAAGTTGTGACATCGTATCAGAGTCCAACCAGAGTCATATATTGAAACAATACGAAAACTGTATTCTTGAGTTAAAGCAGTCATTTGGTGAGCCTGTGAAGCAAGAAATTACCCCTCCTATGAATGTTACGGTTGACAGTAAAGACAACTCTCAGCAGGATGCTACTACTTTCCAAGGTCTTCCTCAAAATCTGAATTATAGTGAGACCAGTCAGAGTGACCAGTTCCAAAACAGACAAGCTGATCCCACCAATGATGAAGAAATCACAGATATAATGGACAATTTACCAGATTTGATCACCCAGTGCATTCAGTTGGACAAAAAGCACAAAGACAGGCCAGAACTCCTACAGACAGAAAGTCAGGTTCCAGTATTCTCTTCCACAAACCATCGCCAATCCTTCCTTAGTCCCATGGTTCCACTACCCAAAGATGAGTTCAAGTCACTTCAGGGAGCCCAAATGCCTGTCACCCCAGCCAAGAGAGCCCGCCAGCAAGAAACTCAGTTATGTCTGTACTGTAGCCAGGCTGGTCACTTCACAAGAGAATGCCTTGCTAAACGATCTCGAACTCCAGCAAGGAGAAAAATGTAGCTCACTGGTAAGACAAGGATAGGAAGTCACTTTGTAAACTCATACCCCTGTCACCATTGGCCTTAGTGATTTATAAATGTTCACAAACTTCAAAATATAAATGAGTTGTTGTGGCATCATCACCTTAAAAGCAGGCATGGCCATTTATGTCTCCAGGAATTTAAATAACCAGAACGTGTTGATTGGAAGATCAACAAACTTAACCCAACAATGATCAAGACAACAAACAAAACTTTATAGTTATGGCCACTTCCTTCAAGAATTCTGAAAATTTGCAGATAGAAGTCTCTCCAGCCTGAGTCACACACAGAAAAAATTAATTCTGACAATATATTGGAATTTATATCCCTACCAATTGATGAAATCTTGGTTGACTCTGATGGCCCAAGTCCTATAGCTTGTGTACTTAGGACTGATCCCAAAGCTTTTATCTACTTCTTTGCTGATCTGTTTCTTAGTGACTTGTTTGTTCAGGTTTTTTGTTCGCAATCATAGTGGCATCATCATATCTTACTAATATTCTTGTCATTGAGAGACAGAATCTGGATTCTGTTCTACTTATTAATCAGACTCTAGTGCTGATATAAGCCAATCTTCCTGGATCTGAATGAATATCTACCACCCTTCCATTCAGCTATACATATTTTGTTAACAACTAAAGACACCTGCTTATCCAACATGCTGAACTTTTATGAAATTGGCAAACCAGATTGTAATGTCATTTAAAATGAGAACTGCTTATTTACTGGTACTTTTCTTTGAGGCATAGTCTCTTTGACAATTAACATACTTTAAGCCTGCCAATCCAAGCTTAGTCATTTCTACCCTAATGTTCATATTTTAGATTTGAACATATATATGGCTAAGTCTAACGATTTATGATGATAACCAATTAAGTTATTTAAAGACATTAGTTTAATGTGTACTATCATAGTTACTTAACATCAGCATATTCTTGCTACCTAAACAGAGACAAATCTCCACTAAGAACTGACTTTCCAGCCTACAGTAGTTGGGACTCTCTGAGCTTCACCATTAAAAACCACTGCCAATTGCTACCAAGCTATACTCTTATGGACTACCTTTGGATATTGTCGTCTAATCGAGGACTTCAGAAAGCAATGGGATGACATAGAATTTTTGCAACCAACTCATCTGAAAAATTCTGTGCATGCACATTAACACCATCTGTGCACAAAACTCAAGAACTGGGGTGTTCTTTTGCTTGTCTTGTACTCTTGGCACACATCAGCTCTATGTATAAATAGATGATGTAGATGATTCTTCTGCAAAAAAATGGAAAGATGTGCTAGAAAGGCACTTCTTAGAAATGTTAACCTCTAATGTTGCTCAGTATTTGCTGGTACTTATAATTTCTTTGTTCCTTGCTTCTTGGTGCTGATATATTTCCCCACAATGGATCTCCCGAAGATCAGTCATTTCATATTCCTTAGTAGCCATCAAGGCCTCTCAGAACATGAAGTGCCATTGTACTTTGGTCTTGGTCCTGGAAAATTGTGCTTAGTTTTCAATGCTGAATCCCAGATAGGGCCTTACTACTTTCATATTGTAGCACCAAGAAATATTTCTTCATCCATCAGTGCCTCACTAACCACTGTGCCGATCCCTACTTGCATTCACAAGCAGTTAGTTCTTTTGCCAAGAGCTTGCTATATATCTACATTATTCCATAAACTGCCATAATAAAGAGATCTGAATGCACATACTGTGCTTGAGTTAAGAAATGCCCACTGCAGTACTGGGATTGTATGAGAATATTTATCAAGTAGAGCTGCTTGAATGTTGATTGATTCTGGGATGTCCATAAATAGCCCTCACCTGTATCTTCTAAGTCTATAATAAAGGACTAGTCCAAATGAACTACAGCCATGTTTTTTTCTTTTGTGTGGTGGGGGTGGTTGAAGAAGGAAAAATAAGAAAATCCATCTATGTAAATGAAACAGATCTAGATCTGTGACCACAATTTAAGAAAAAGAACTTAGCACTTGTACAACAAAAGATGCAAAGAATTGTTGAAAGTAATAAAAGAGAATTTCCATGAACAGAGAGGCAATTCATGCTTACAGATCACAAGATTCAAGAATTTTGTTTTTTGTAAAAATTGACACAAAGATAGTCATAAAATCTAAATGGAAATGCAGTATATTAAAATACTGTGAAATTTTCAATAGGATAGCCATTTGGAGTCATGAGCAGATTTAATCGTAGAAATTAATTTTGTGTTTGAGAGTCAATTGATTTTTAATAAGAGTCAAATGACTCAATTAGAAAAAATATTTTTCAAATGATTGTACTAATACCATACAGGAAAACCCTAATAATGGATCATTTATATCAGTGCAAGCTAAAACAAGAAACGTTTTAAGACCTTTGGTTACATAGAATCTGTCTATATTGGCCAGTAGCCACGCAGGAAGTATAAGTACCAGAAGAGGAGAATTCTGGGAAGAGGAGGTAGAGAGAAGCTGCCAGAGAGAGGCCATGAAATAACGTGTTGGAGCCTTCTCCAGTAAGATAAGGCCTTATAGAAATGGGTTAATACAATACTTAAAAGAGAGCTAGCCAATAAGAAACCTGAGCAATCTGCCAAACAGTTTATAAATATTACAAGTCTCTGTATGTTTATTTGTGGCTAAACAGCTGTGGGACCAGACAGGAAAGAAACTCCACCCACAAATACCAAAATCAGGAACCATAAAAGATAAAAAGTAAATTCGGCTTTAGTGCTTGGGAAGCTGAGACAAGTGGATGGGTAGTTTGGAGCAGGCTAAACTGGGACACAGTAATACAGAACAAAATAAAGAATAGAAGGAAAGAAGGAAGGAAGTAAGGAATGAAGGAAGGAAGGAAAGGAAAAGAAAGAAGGAAGGAAGGAAGGGAAGGAAGGAAGAAGGAGGAGGAATAGAGGAAGGAATGGAGAAAGGAGGAAGGGAAGAAAGGCTACATGTGGGTAAAAAATCTTGCTAATCATGAGTTGGATAATGAACTTTGTCTAGAATAAAGAACTTTTAATGCTTAATAATAAGACAGTCCAATTAAAAAGTAAACAAAGGGATAGGTTAATAGCTATCCACTACATTTAAAAAGTATCTAACATCAATTAGGCATTATAAAAACTAAAACATCAAAAGGAGGTACCACCACTACCAACTCAAATGGCCTTTCAGTCAGTTTCTTACTGACCATAATATGCGGTCTTGGATGTCAATAGAAATATTAGTGTGTAACTTGATTAGCTACCCTTCTTTAACTTAAGGCCACCTACTTATCACTGTGGACCATCTTTCCAAAACTCATAACTTTATTTCCCTCTTAAACAACATTTACTGCAAGAAATCTTTGGCTTTCACAGTGTCCAAGAGGAGCTACTCAATTCAGGGCTAAGAACTTCCACTCACTTTTTACTTCTGGAGGACTCTTGAATTATTTTATTCTCAATAAATAATCTCTTTTACATGACCTCATTCAATGAAGTAGCCTTACAGAGCAAAGCAATTGAGATTTGTCACAATTCTGAACTTCTATGAGGCATTTTGTCATTAAAACATTTATCATAGAGGTGTCATGCACTATATACTGTCAACTTAAACTGGAATGACAGAGAAGTTAGCATAACAGTTATAAAATGAATTATAATTAGTAGATATTAACAAAACTAATTAGAATCCACAGAAAAATGATATATAACACACTCAACAGTATAGTGTGTTACTTTAAATGGCTTTAGAAACCTCTCCATATAATCAAAGATGCAGTGATAGGGAGATCGATCTGCTATGATTGATTCATCCACTGAGGTAAGTCCCAATTCTAAGTCTGAGGAAGAAATTAACAACAGAATAGTTTGCAAAGTGTCTACACATGAAAGGAATGAAACAAAAATAGAACACTGACCTCCTTAATCTCAGAGATGGGATACTAACCTGCATTCCATTGATAGATCAATGTTACAAGGACATCGCAATTTGTATCATCAGCTATTGTGATACTCACCTCACTTTCTTCTTACTTTGTGGTCTTCTAGTATTCTGCTTATAGTTGCTTTCCTATTTACATTTTGTTTTTAGACATATTTGCTGGTCATTTGACATGAGTCTACTATCCTGTTGGCCAGTTACTTCTCATTGTCAGTGAATACAGTGGTATTTGCATTACATTGGTGTTTCCTGAGGGGATTACTAGTACTAATCCTTTGTGTTATCCCAATCACCTCTGAGTACTTGGAGAATAGCTAATACTGTCAGTATTACAGTGTGAATCACAGTGCATGTACTGAATGTCAGTCTCCCTGGACCTCTTTCCTCAACATTAGCTGGCTTCTCCCTTTATTTCTAGCTTCTGTCTAGAGATTCAATACAAATCCTGTTATACATAATGTTGTAACTCTCTAATCTACCTCCATGCATAACAGAAGCATGGTACTTGCAATATGTAGTTGGTTTTTCTACTTTACTGTGTTCTATTTCTGAGTATACTCCCATGGATGAAGACATAACTAGACCTTAACCACTGAAAACCACTGTAGAAGCATATTATTGACCTTACTTATGCCACCTCCATTTTGTGGAAATTACAAAATACTAGAGCAGTATAATTTCTCTTGCTTTTACTCATGATGATCTAATTACTCACACTTTCTTGAATTCTGGGATGTTGTCATGCAGAACATGTATTCAATTACCACAGTAATAATCTCTGAAGATAAACAGAGTCTAAGGCCATATCTCCTGAAAGAACCCTATCTCATCTGATCTCTAAAAAGAATATTTAGGATATATGGAATGTCTACCAGATTGTTGGCAAAATTCAAATACTACACACACTTAGGATGGGTCTGGCAACTTGTATAATATCTTAAAAGACCTTTGTATTGGTTTAGGAAGGGACAGAAGCTACTTGGTCAGAAGAATGAAAAACATGCTTCCCACAAAATCTTGTCTGATCGATCTTCATTGTCCTCCTGATTCAAAATTCACTGTACACAGTTTAAAAATAAGTTTCAGAACTAAGTTAGATCAATTAGTAGGGTCAACAGAACAATTCTGGCAAATGTATCTTAGTACCCATCCGATGTTGTCTAGACTTTGATCACAACTACAGTTTACACATTCACACACTGAATTACTGGTATTACTACCTAGTAGTGATTTTCATTATTAGGTGTGCTTTAACTTCTTTCCCCATCTATTGATTTCTAACACATAGATTTGATGGCTATGGATATTCTATCTAGCCATCTCAGTGAGAAGCCAATAATAGTTGTAGTCACTAATCCCATTCATTTCATAGTAACACAATGGACGACTATGTAGTCTTTGATTCATATAATACAGTGTTTTATTCACTTGACTATAAAATCTGGCTCTGTGCTTGTTTAGGAAATGAGAAGTTAATTGTTGGTTAACACCTTTTATATGCCAGACACGGTAATAAGAACTTTGATTTGTTAATGGCTCTCAGTTAAATCTCATATTACTAAAAAATGGAATATCCATTTCTAACATTTCATGCTCACTGCATCTTGATGAGGTAGGTGTTATAAATTCAATTTAAAGATAATGAATAAAGATTTAGAGCAGCTGACATATCTGCCCCAGTCATGTAGCTTGTAACTGAGATAAATGTAAAAGCACACTCTTTCATTCTCTTTTCATTCTATTTTTTAACTGCTGAGATTTAGCCAAGGGTCTCACACATGCCAGGCAAGCACTCTACCATGGAGACACATCATGATCCCCAAAGTACATCTTTCTGTTGCTACAGCTTTGTGCTATCTGAGACAGAAGGGAAATATGCTTAAGTCACACCCCTCCTGATTAGCCTCGCTGACTTAATTGCACCTCCCACAGGCACTATACACAGCAGCCACTCTAATAACTGGTATTCACATAGCAACTGGTTGAAACTCATTTTCTAGACAGCAGTCTATAAAGGAAACAGAACAAATCAGCTCCTTCTAGGACTTTGAAATTTCATTTGTGTTTCTAATGAGTTGGGGGAAAATTACTTGACATATCTAAAAATACACTGTGTCTACATTATGTGACTGGGTAGGCTCTTGTTTGTTGAGTCAGGATTCTAACAGTTTCTAACTAACAAAAGACTTTCATACTTCTATAGCTCTTTATTTAAAGCTATTGAGTCTTTTTTTGAACAACATTGTTTGCAGTTATTGAATAATGCCAGGAGATGAGGACAAGTTTATATGCCACCATCACATAAAACTCAAGGTTAAAATTCATTTTGATTTATTCAGATACCAGTTAGCTATTTACACTTGAGAAGTGCTCTAATGTATCAGCCTCAGGGAATATCCAATCCAACAAATTGATTCTTAGGGGAATTCTTGGAAAGACAAGCTTGTTCTTTTTGCATATTAACCCTATGTTTGACAACAACTACAACGTATGTTTCCCTTAGTTAATAATAATGATTCATCTAGGAATTCATTATTAGATCAACTTCTTTTCAATTTGAAATAAGTGTGTAATTATACAATGGAGACCATAGGGTTATACCCTGTCATTTAAATCAAACTTCCTTTTACGTGGGATAAATTCAGCTTATGTATAATCTAAAGGCAGTACTCTCTATGACGTCATCACAGAATATCAAGGAGTCTGTGTTGGTGCTGATTGCTACTGCTTGGAAAAGTGGCCACAAAACCACATGCACCCAGTTCCTGTGAAACCTCATTAGCCTTACCTCCATTTTCCATGTGTCTCTCAGCATTCTGTTCTTCAAGATCTCATCAGAGTGGCCCATTTATCTCTGTTTACAGCATTCAGAGGCTTTTCTGGGACAGAGTTACACACATTTCCATATTCTTTCAACAAGCCAGTTCTTAGGGCCTAATGGCA